TCGATGCGAGCAAGAATGAGGAAGACGAAGGGTAAGGAGGAAAAGGAGGGCCTTCGCCGCCCCGGGGTGGTGGTGGGCGCCTTTCCCTGGGGTGCCTCCCCGGCCCCCCTCTCTCTCCCCTTGCACGCCTTGCTCACCCCACCCCCGGTCTTGGGACGCGTGTCGTTGGGCCTGGAGTGGCGCGGGAGGGACTTCTCTAGGAAAGGGAGTGAGTTGGAGAGGAAGTTATCCCCGTTTTCTTTATCTGATTATGTCGGGTTGGTGTTTTGTTTTAATTTTTTTTGAAGCGCTGGGCGCCTTACAAGAAGAGCTGCTGCTGCAAAAAGCCTCCCCAAAGCTTTAATTCGTTTAAATCGCTTTAGGGGGAAGCGAGGTCCTAGGCATGTAATGTGACTTCTGGGAGGAGCGAGTCCCTTGTAAATGGCTCCTTATGGGCACCGTCACTGGGGGCGAACTGGAAGTCTCCCCCCGGATGTGCGCTTTGAGACGACTGGGTTCCCACTGGGCTCTGGTAAACCTTTTTAGTGCTGCAAGCGAGGAAGGCATGAAGCAGTGTAGGATGATGCTCCTACAGGGATGCAAAGGCGGTGTTGCTGCTCATCTCTACCCAGGATGGGTAGAAAAACAGTGGATTTAAACTGTGTGGGGCATTTAAGAGTCCGGATTTGATGTTTCTTTTTTTAAAAGCATTATGTGCGCTTGGGGGGAAAAAAGATGGACTTGTTAATGCGAAGCCACATCGGTAAACCACGTCACGAGGAATTGCAGCAGAAGAGCGAACGAGAGAAAAGGATGCCGTTGTTGGCCTAATAGAAAAACTTTGACTTGTTAAAGCCACATCGGTAAACCACGTCACGCAGCAGAAGAGCGAACGAGAGAAAAGGATGCCGTTGTTGGCCTAATAGAAAAACTTTAAAAAGTGCTTTGAATTTCGTTCTTGACTTGAGGTTTGGCTTTGAAGGAGCACTGATGTCACCAGTGCACGTAAGGTGGTATTGCTCATGTGCAAGTTTGCATCGCCCTTAAATATTTGGCTTGGAACAAATAAGGAACGGAGAATGTTTTCAATTTTATATGCTTTAAACACTGTTTGGCTGTAAATGGTAGTACTGTAGTAGTAACAATAACAACAGTGTGTTAATTCTGCCTTGTGGTAGCCCTTTTCAGGGTTTTCTGAGTAGAAAGTACTCAGAAATGCTTTACCCTTTAATTCTTCGGAGTGCCACATGCCCCAGGCCACACAGACTTGCTCTTCTGTGATGCACAGTGGGGAATTGAACTCCCAACTTCTGGCCGTGCAGCCAGAGAGCTTGCTGAGCTATCCAGCCAGCGTAGTTGTGAAACAAGATCCTAAACTTTAAAAAGTTGCACGTGTTCGGAAAGAAGCCATAACCAAAATATTTTTCAGCTTCAAAGAGAGAGAAAACCTGAGAAGACAGTTGATAAACATACATTTAATTGCTGTACTTACTTGGTTTGGACCATGTGAAATGGACTGTGTGAGTTAAAAATAAGAGTATAAGAGAAAATGAATAGAAAGGTAATATTATGATGGTCAAACGTAGCTGATGGATAGCAACCTTTTTTGATATATGCAGCTGTTTTCAACCGCATGATACATGTTTTTGTTCATCCTATGCAAACTCTTAATGTATAGCTGTGTGAGTATAAGAGAAAATGAATAGAAAGATAATATTATGATTGTCAAACGTAGCTGATGGATAGCAACCATTTTTTGATATATGCAGCTGTTTTCAACTTCATGATACATGTTTTGTTCATCCTATGCAAACTCTTAATGTGTGTTGTGCAAAAAAAAATCTCAAATGTCTTACAGAAGAAATAAGTGGTTCTTCTCTAGCTGAGGGAAGTGAATTTGATTCTGAGCTTCAGTTAAATGCTGTGTTTTCCTTCGAGTCTTCTTTTGTTTCATCATGAAACATACCTTTAGTTCGGAATCCGTGGCACTCTATTAGTGGTTGCATGGTATTGCTTAGATATGTTTCTTATTAAAAATTGAAGCTAGTGTTCATTGTTGTTTTTCTTAATAAAGCTGTGTGCAAGATGGTGTAAAGTTAGTTGTACGTACTACAGTTAATTGAGCAGTCTGTCTATAAGGAACTTTTTCATTTTCATTTTTTTAGGCCCTTGCCTTGCTTATAATAACTATATGATAATTTCCTCCAATAGCACAACATACATATCTTGCATAATAAATGAACACAATTTAAAGACTAACATAATTATACCAGTACTGGCTGTGAATAACTTTTTGTAGTGCATAGATAAGGAGGCGGCTCTAGTGAGGATGATTAAAATCACAATAACACTGAAGGTTGGCCTATTGTAAAAAGGATGCCAGAGGGGTGATATGGTTGGGATGTTTTGACTGAGGAAGAATGTTAAAGCTCCTAGTTAGACTGGGCCATGAAGATTGTTCTTCAGCACATGAATAGGCTTCTTTAGTTCATCTTTTGGCTTAAAGTGCTGGTTGCTGCATCTAACTCACTGGGACTAACAGGAAGTGAGCTTTTTTCATAGGCAGATGTTTTCCATGATAGTGAATTCAAATGTGGATGTTCTTGCAGGCATTGTTCATGAACTGCCTTAGATTAGGGTTTTGGGAAGAAGCAGAGGTTGCCCCTTGGACATGGAACAACCACTGTCTTGGGAACTTCTCAAATCTACAAGCACTGACTGCTTTGTATATTATAGTAACTGTCATTGGGACACTGTGTAGTTAACCGATTGTTTGAAGCTCTGCCTGCATAGTTTGAATGAAGTTCTGGGTGTCTTTTGGGATGTCATTACCATAAATTAGGCCCAAGTGACCTTTTTCTGTACTTGGAATTTGGCCATAGAAGTTTGACTGAGGGTGAGTTTGAAATTTGTAACAGATTTTGAGTTCCAGACTTTGGAATAGATTCAGATATAGACCAAGTAAATATATAATGAATGTCTTTTATGCATACTTATAAGAAGCTTTTTTATAACAGTTGTCTGTCTGTAAAATGATGTAGCTCATTTGGAAAACCTGGTGCAGCTTATTAAATCACTGTGTGAATGAGCTTCTTGTAAATACATTCAATATTTTGATTTTTCTTCTTGCATGAAGCACAATTTAAACTAGGAATTTAGCCTGCAGCCATGGTATACCATTTTGTCCAAACTAGTGAACTATAGTAATTAATATTGGATTAAGGCAACACAGTAAATCATAGTTTGGAATTTGTTCAGCATATAGTGAGTTGTTCCAGAGATGGTAGCCATTAGTTCCTTGTTCAAATGAGACAAGAAGCCATTTTTAGTTGAAGACCCAAGTCACTGAATTTCAGATGCATTTCCAATGGGCTAAGTGCATGGGTACTTATATTATTGTGACCTAATAAGCAGCATTAAGGTGGTGTGAATTGGGTCGCTGTGTGTTCTGCTGGTTTCTTTCTGCAAGGGTGTATAATGTGTAATATAATGGTGTGATCTGCACACTACTGTTTGCACAAATTTTACTCAAAGACTAATAATGTTGCTGAGGGCTCTCATAGTGTGATCATAAACTGACTGCTGCTGTGAGTGTATTATAACATTATCAGTTTTAAGTTTTTAATCTTAAGAATTCTCAGTGCAAAAATGGAGGATCTTTTTCTCTGTTCTATGAGTTTGGAGTTTTAAAGCGAAGACAGGTAAGCAATTTGGCATGTTTAAACTCATGTTTTACTTCAGATGGTTCTGAGCAGTATTCTCTACAAAAAGTGAACATTGCTTACAGCCAGTGGAAAGAAACTATACTTTGTCTTTTCCGTTTCCCCTTTATGGTTGTAAAATATAGTCTTGGTTTGTGTTTTTATTTGGTAGAACCAGTCTTGCTCTGTTTTACCTCTGTTGAGAAATGTTTCATTTTTGCATCATTTCTTGCAATGGCCTATATACATTGTATATATTTCTTCCATTGTGCTGGATTGCCTATATTTCTTCCGTTGTGCTGGATTGCCTAAAACATGATCTGAGGACATAGCTGCACTGCAAGTACTGTACAGTATTCTTATTTTTATTTGGAAATATGAATATTATTATTATTGAGAAATGTCTCTGCATTGCTTTTCTGAGCCAGTGGAACATTTCTCTAGGAAGAAAGGGGCTGTGATTACCAGTGTCCAATCTTCTACATTCTCTGTTGTTTCAAAACTTCTTTGGGCTTGGATTGCATTCCCATGTGGAAGAAAAGTGGTGAGACTGAACTACTTCAGGCACGGAAAGCACATGTCTGGTATTTTGAAAAAGACGTAGCAGTCACATGCCATTAACATTGTCTCTATTAAGATATGGGTTCATTTTCTAAGCTGCTCTTCGTTTTGTTTTTGATGGATATTGAAAGGCAAGAGAAGTTGGCACAGATGCAGCATACTAGATATGCATTGCAGTTTCTTAAATGTGCGTCTATCTGTCTAAGAATTGGAGAGCAGTAGTCCAAAAATAGGATGCTGGCTGCATTTTTATGGAGCTTTGTTTCTGATCTGGCAGTATGCCTGGTGGGTCACATATTGTGATCCAACATACAGAAATCGTGCAGTTGCCTTCCTTGTGCTACTAAAAACAATGGCATTGCTGCTCAGAATATACTGGGATCAGAAAAATATATCATGACATCAGTCATTGATTATCTTTCTGCAGTCTTCATTTTTTATTTCAGACATATTCAGAACTGTGAAATTCAGTGAGTCCCTTTAGTAGTGTGCTATAAATATGAAATATATAAGCATAAAATATATAAACATAAAAATATATAAAGAGCAATGCTTTTCTGAAAGAAACCCTAGGAACTTTTAAAGGAATTCAGTGCCCAAATTGTTAGATGCTTATCCTTGCCCAAAATTATCTTAAGTTCTTGCAGGGAAATAGTAAGAAGAAAGCTTGTTGCAGTTTAGGCATGGTTCTCAAAGGTACTGAAATCTTCAAGGGGGGAGGGGAGCTGAAGCACTGACAGTAAAAATAACTTGAAAAATATTATATTTGACCGGTATATTCCAGCTGGAATGCTCAAAACACCATACAGTATAGGTTTTGTAGAAACCAAATTGTAAATAGTCACTCAGCCTAGTGTAGGAGTTCCATGGAAGGAATTAAGAAGGGAAAATAATGTAAAAAGTAACAAACTACTGGCTTGTGTATGCAAGAAATTACTACATAAGTAGTCTAATGGCCGGGGTGTAAACACAATAAATAAATAAATAAATAAAATAAAGAAGGGAATTTTTTTTTAAAAGTAACAAACTTCTGGCTGGGTATGCAAGAAATTACTACATAAATAACTAGTCTATTGACTAGATGGGCGGGGTGTAAACACAATAAATAAATAAAATAAACTGGCTACTACAGGAACGTGTTGTGGGTTAGCAGGTCTTGTTCTGTTTAATAAAGATTTAAGTTAAGAAAACTTTTATGTGCTATACAAGAGATAACTTTTGCCTTTAGTGTAAAGAGTTGAGAGTAATAACTTGGATTTCTGGACTGTATTTAAATTTGTGTCTACAGCAGTTTCAAGAAGTGCTCTTGAAACTAGCTTTATGTATTGTGTGCCTTCTATTCCTTTTCCCAGTTAGCACTCCAGTGCCTAGTTGGTTCTTTGATGTGAAAGTTAAATTTGTCCTGAAAAAGAGGCTCTGTCCTCTAACAGCTAATCTCCGTGCTACTACAGTGAAAGGTGCAGCCATAAGATAAGGAGCTCCCTTGTTGCTTACTTGGAGGTGAAAAGGCAGCCTGCTAAACAAAACTAAAGTAAGTTCTTTCCTGGTAAGGTTGCAAAAGTACACATTGGCCAAAATACAATTTTTTTCTGTTCTCAGCCTGGGACAAATTAGCACTGCATTTTGTTCGAACTCCGGCTTGTATGGGAAGTTTTAGAGCATGTAGTGTACTAAATTGCTTTCTGATTCCAGGGTCTGGCACTGTAGATTGAGGAGTGGCTGAACATGTCTCTACTTATGTGGAAGTTATTGCTAAGCTGTGTATTTAATGCAACAGATGTGTTGTCACTGGATCAGTTGCATTTTATATAAACATTCTTGTAGTAAGACTAGTTTATACAGGCATTGTGCAGATTTGATTGTCATAATCTTTGTCTTGGAACCAATTACAAAAATGAATGCAGCTACTCAGTATAGCAGCATATCATCTAACAGTAATGTATATTTATCTGTTCATAGAGTTGTGGACTTAAAACTGACATGTCAGTGTTAACATCTTTGATACTTGGTGCAATACTCCAGTTGATTCAGGTTTGTTTATGTTTGCATGAGCAGCTTAAACACAATGGCTAAAATCAGTACTAAGTTCCAGCTAGCGCAGATTTGATGAATTAGTGGAATTTACTTAGTTATTGACTCAGTAAGTCCCTGCTTATTCATTTAACCTACTCTGTTTGAGTCTTACTACTTGTTTCTCTTGCAGTAGAGTGAAAACAGCCTTGAGCATGGCATGTAAGGTGATTCAGGCAGGTGGGTGGTCAGTTCTGTGCTGAGATGACCCCGGGGTTATCTTGAATAAGTAAGCTTTCAGCTATAGGAATTATATTGAGCTGCTGAGAAGAGTGTAATGTTGCATTGTCAGCTAGTAGTGGAAGAATTCGCAGTGTGGTGTGGTGGATAGAGTGCAGACTAGGGTTTTGAAGAACAAGGTTCGAATCCCCACTCAGCCATGGAAACTCACTGGTGTGTTGACAGTGAACTGTTAAAACAATTCCTTAAATATTTCACTTGCCTTGAAAGCCTTGTTAGGATCACTATAAGTCAGTTCTGACTTTACAGAACACACACAGTAGAAGGAAGAGTGAGGTTTGGTGCCACCTACAGCATTGTGGTTCACAAAGTAGGCAGTCTAATGCTTTCCATTTGTTTTGCATAATAGTTCCCGAGAGGCTCTAACGAACATTATTGGTGCAGCTACAGAGGTTATAGACATTGTAGTGCAAAGCTTCTGGTGGTTATCAAATTGTCTCCTTCTTTCATGAGTAACAGGTGTGAGATGGTTGATAGGTGAAGAGTGAGACAACAGACATCTGTGACTTGATCCTGGATTATCGTGCTGACCTGGTCTGCATTACAGAAACATGGCTGCTGTGTGGTTCACAAAGTAGGCACTCTAATGCTTTCCATATGCTTTGCATAACAGTTCCCAAGAGGCTGTAACGAACATTACTGGTGCAGCTACAGAGGTTATAGATATTGTAGTGCAAAGCTTCTGGTGGTTATCAAATTGTCTCCTTCTCCTCTCATGAGTAACAGTTGTGAGATGGTTGATAGGTGAAGAGTGAGACAACAGACATCTGTGACTTGATCCTGGATTATCGTGCTGACCTGGTCTACATTACAGAAACATGGCTGGATGAAATGGAGAGAGGGAAGTCTCTCAATTTTGCCTACCTGGGTTATCTGTGCATCAACAGGCTAAACCAGGGAGGGGGAGCAGGGCTGCTGTAGTTTGCTGAAATTTCATCATTCCTAACAGGTCTCTAGCAGGCTGCTGAGTTTGAGTTTGTACACCTATGAGCTGGTTCCTGGGACAGAGTGAGCATTATTCTGTATAAGACTAGGAATGTGCTACCTATTCTGTTGTGCATCATTCTCCATTCCTAAGCTAGCACAGTTGATCTTGGAGTACTGCGTTAGAGAATTCCTGTGTTTGGAGGACTAGCATTCATATTGAGCATCTGAAATCAGGAGTGACTCATGATTTCTTTGTATTCCATGATGATCATGGGTCTGTCCCAGTGGTATCCGTTCCACTCATATTGCAGGACATGCACCAAAGCTAGTTGTCTCTGCTGGACAGGTCTTCTAACTGCTGATGATAAGAGATTAGAGAAACTCTTGGCAGTTTCATCTTCATGGGCAGATCAATATCTGGTGGCACTGAAAGTCATCAGAATGCTGAGCCTCTGAAGGGTTGGGCGACTGATTAAGATGGTCTATTCCAGTAACCTTGTGGATCCAAAAAATCTTTGAGGAGCTTCCTGTCACTTCAGTAGATGATCCTGTCGAAGCCCTCGTTAATATCTATACTATAATAGGAAGATGGTCAGGACAATAAACACAGTTGCTGTGGAACGTCCACTCCTATAGAGTGAAGCCATACTAGTCCCTAGGAATTTCATCTTCATGGGCACTGAAAGTCATCAGAATGCTGAGCCTCTGAAGGGTTGGGCGACTGATTAAGATGGTCTATTCCAGTAACCTTGTGGATCCAAAAAACCTTTGAGGAGATTCCTGTCACTTCAGTAGATGATCCTGTCAAAGCTCTCGTTAATATCTATAATAGGAAGATGGTCAGGACAATAAACACAGTTGCTGTGGAACATCCCCTCCTATAGAGTGAAATCATACTAGTCCCTAGGAAGCTAGTTATGAAACAAATGGGATGGAAACTAGAGTGATGATGGTATATAACAGAACAAATGTGTCCGAGCACAGACTAGAACCTATTGTGACAGTGGTAGCAATAAAGAAATCATTCTTCTCTGCCACCATTGTGTCTGCACAGAGCCATTCCACGAAGCTGGTTTCGAAGTTTGAGAGTCCATTAATATGTTCACACCAAAACAGGATAGAATGCAGATGACTCAACAATTATGAAAAATCTTCATACTGCTTTGAAGGCAAAATCATCTTGCTGTTGTTTTGACTTGTATATTGCCCCATTGTGCTACAGCACTCCTTGTGTGGTTTACAGTGTACAGTAATTATGCAAGGAACACTTTGATATGCTCTCATTTAAAGACGGTGGTTGACACAAGTTCTGTGGATTATGCTGCTTCTGGAGTTCTGGTGTAGGATTCCTAGTGGCTGCGCACATGGCTGTCAAAAAACTGTCATCATCGTTGATGACTCATCAACCTTCCCTCCATGAAGTGGTAATCTAATAGAAGTGATCCCAACAATCCAAATGGCTTATCCCCAGAGGATATTCTTTGTAGGGTGAAGTGGTGAACGTGGACTACTTGGTTTTCAAATTAAATTAGTATATCTCTAAAATATGTGGATAGAAGGTGTCAGAGTCTTTTTTTCTCTCTTTTTATTAAGTTTTACAGTTCTAACATTGGTTTCGCCCTGCAGGAAAATGTTCATTGGAGGCCTTAGCTGGGATACTACGAAGAAAGATCTTAAGGACTACTTCACAAAATTTGGAGAAGTTGTGGACTGTACCCTGAAATTAGACCCTATTACAGGGCGGTCAAGAGGCTTTGGCTTTGTGTTGTTCAAGGAATCTGAGAGTGTGGATAAGGTATGTTTTCTTTTAAGGTATTCTGTGCTAATGGTTGTTATGGGTTTTTCGGGCTCTTTGGCCGTGTTCTGAAGGTGGTTCTTCCGAATGTTTTGCCAGTCTTTGTGGCCGGCATCGTCAGAGGACAGGAGTAGCACTCTGTTCTCTTGTATTCTGTGCTGCTAAAGCAATGTAAGTGGTGGTTTTTGAATAATATAGGTGGAAAAGTTTTTTAAGGTTTTGTAACCCTTGTTTTTCTAAAATTGTAACTGTAGGTCATGGATCAGAAGGAGCACAAACTGAATGGTAAAGTGATTGATCCCAAGAGAGCTAAAGCAATGAAAACAAAAGAGCCAGTCAAAAAGATTTTTGTTGGAGGGTTGTCTCCTGATACACCAGAAGAGAAAATAAGGGAATACTTTGGTGGCTTTGGGGAGGTGAGTGAAGTTATTTATGTATCATTTTCTTAAGATTTTTATAAATATAGTGGTGCCTTGACTTACGAATGTCTATGTATCGTTTTCTTAAGATTTTTATAAATATAGTGGACCCTTGACTTACGAACATGCCGACATATGAACATCCCGAGTTACGACCAGCTCCAGCCGCAAAATTTTGCTTTGACTTGTGGTCGGAGCTTCCAGTTATAAACAGAAGAAGGTAGGGAGGAAAGGCGGATAATTCAAATTGCTACCCGTTGGTGGCGAAGAGGCTGCTTCTTTGTAGCTCTTTTGCCCCAGCAGTTAGAGAGTGTGCAATCGGAGGAGGCTTCGGATTGCCTGGTAAGGTGCTGCTTTCTGCTTTTTAAAAAACTGTTCTGGGTGGATTTTGCAGCGTAGTTTTGGGCTGGATGGTGGGATTATTTTTCTATGTTGTGATGCGTCTTGCAGGGTTTGTTTTTTGGGGTTCCCCCATTTCCAATGGATCTTGCGAGGTTTGCTCTCCCCATTTCTGATGAGTCTTGCATGGATGTTTGCTTTATGGTTCCCCCCACTTCCAATGGGTCTTGGGTTTGTTTGCTTTCTGCTTTGCTTTTTTTGCCCATTTCCGATGGTCTTGCATGCCTTGCTTGCTTTCTGCTTTGCTCTTTTTGCATTTCTGATGGGGCTTGTGGGATTTGTTTGCTTTCTGCTTTGCTTTTTTTGCATTTCCGAAGGGTCTTGCATGGTTTGTTTGCTTGCTTTGCTTTTCCCCCCTCCTCGGGTGGAATGGATTAATTGCATTTCAATGCCCCCTCCTTCGGCTGGAATGGATTAGTTGCATTTCAGTGCATTCCTATGTGGAATGATGCTTCAGTTTATGATCATTTTGAGTTATGACTGCAGTTCCAAAACCAATTAAGTTCGTGAGTCGAGGCACCACTGTAAATGGGCTATTAAGTCTGCCAGATTTCACATGAAAACAGTACTTACAGAAAATAAGAGACTTGTTTTTAGATTATACACAAACACTTTTTTTTTGTCCTAATCTTTTCTAAATTTCTGAGAGAACATTTATGGTATTGCATCCAGATGCTGTAAGTAAAAACTATAGCAGCCACCATGTTGCAGTCATTTTTTGGTAAGAAGTGGGAGTAGCTGCTATCTAAAGTTTCTGTAAATAGTATTCTAAATACAGTGGTGCCTTGCTTAACGAGCGCACCGTTTAACGAAGAATCCGTATAGCGATCCCTTTTTGGGGATCGCTATACGGATCTGCCCCAATCGCCGCACTCGCTTTGCGAGTAAGAAGTGGGAGTATCTCTTCAAAAATCATAGCTGCTATCTAAAGTTTCTGTAAATAATATTCTAAATATCTTTTTCTAATATTAACCTCACTAAAAGGCATCTAAGTTAGAAAATCACTGAATTGATTTAAGTTAATTTGGGACCAGAGCTATCAAATGACCAGTTTTTTGTACTTGAAAAAGGCATCTAAGTTAGAGAATCACTGAATTGATTTAAGTTAATTTGGGACCAGAGCTATCAAATGACCGGTTTTTCGTACTTGAAAAATAAAATGAAAACTGCAAACACACAACACTTTAATTTCTTGGCTTATTGTGCTAGTTTTTCTTATGGAGTGGCTAAGGCATTTATTTTGGGGCCTGGGTTTGAGAAGGTGGGAAATCAATGTTAACTAGGTATATGTTCATGTTGTTGACCATATCCAGACAGTCATATCATCCTCCAACTGTAAAATGGTGCGTTAGAGCAGAGAGAGTGGGGCTAGCCCTAGAGTCATGAACTACATTTTCCACTCCTGTGCTTTGGGGAGAAGCTACTGTACAGTATTTACATTTTGCAAATGGAAATTTGGTCCTAGAACTTAAAGGTGTGTTTTGATCGAAGTTCCTAACTTCCTGTCTGTTCCTGAAGTGAGCTCTTCAGCAAGTAAAGAAAAGCAACAGGAAAGTATGAATATCTGGAAAACAAGTGAATATAGTTTCTCAGTTGTGTACTGTATTTTCACTAATATATCTTGTTGCCTGATTTTTTTTCCTATAGTGATTCTATTATGCTCAAGGTTGTCTTTGGCCACTCTTCTTCATGTAACCCATTCTGCTCTTAGTAGAGTTCATGTTCAGGAAAGCTAGCATATTACCGGTCCACCAGGTCTTTGATCTAATAGATCAAAGATAGAGGTACAACCTGTTTCCTGCTGATACCAGAGGGACTGGTTCTGCCATCTTGGCTTTTCTGTCATATAGATATTCTTATATCATGTTTCCATGAAGTTTTTATGCCTCTTATTTAAAATATTTAGTGTATTATTGATTCTGCATACCCATCACCAACTTTTATTCTGTCATCAGTTTGTGAGCTTAGCTGTTCGTCACCATTTCTGAGTTAACTTTAGCCTTTGATTCCTATTGCATTTTCCCCACAAGTCAGTTTAAATCTAATGTGTGACCTTTTAGATAATATGCTTGAATTGTAGCTAATTAGCTCTCAGAATTACTGCCAGCTCCACTGAAATTAGGGACAGTTTTGCAGTGAGTTCTGTGGGTTGTGACATGGGCATGTTTTTCCCAGCACAGAAGCCTAGTCTGACTCAGACAAAAAAAGTTCAAATTAAGTTTGAGAATAATGATGTCTTTAAGGCAGTTGAGTGAAAATAGGTCAGATGTAAAGTGAATTATCTTTCAGAGATTTTGTAAATTCTGCTGAGATGGCTTTAAGTTTCTCTAAGAGTTAAATTGAGTTAAATTGGACTTACCTTAGCCTTTTTTGGGGTGGGGAGTGCACTTTTAATTCATTAATTGAGATTGAATAAGAAATGCTTTTCTGGGTACTTCTCCAGAGGCAAAAGATCAGATCAGACATTGTTCCAAACCAGTGATAAGGAAGCTGTGGTTTCGTATGATGTGAATTGACAGACTGCAGCCAGAATCCTTGTTGGTGTTTGTGCTTTTTTCCGTGGCAAATTCCTGCTAGCATGCATCTGGGTTTATGCAGTCAGATGTTCGGCCAGGCATTTGCTCCAGACATACCCTGGCACCTCATGAGTTAGCCACAGTTGAGATTTTTGCAAACTTACAATAAGATTCTGGCCTATGGAAGTATACTCTTTAGAGCTACTGTGCCTCAGGAGTGGAATCATATGAAGACAACCAGCTCTAACCCATCAAGTATACAGTTACCTATTCATTTAGGAATTTTGGATACGGTTTGGATTCTAAATTATGCTTAGTACGTGTCATGGTTTACTGTGATGTCTGAATTTAAGCCAGCTGGTTCCACTTGACTATATCTGTGCTTTGCTGTACTTTGAATTTTTGAAAGACCCATCACATTCTGGAGGCTGCAGTTAGTTTAAACATAGGCTTTACTTAAGTGTAGATTGATTGAAATGATCTTCCCTGTTGTAGCTTGATTACAGCTGAATAGCATGTTACATTTGATTTTTACAACTGGTTCTTGCATCTCTGATATACTGTGTCCATTTTGAATGGTTTCTTTTTTCGTATCTGGAGTAAATGTCTTTAAAAGTCACACATAGAGCATCTTCCTTAAGATCAGTAGTTTCCACCACAGATGGCAGTGCACCATAAAAACCCTTTCTGGGAAACCCTTCAAAGTGTGTTTTTGGACAGCATTGGAGGAAATACTGTTGCACTTGTGCATTGGTACAACACTGAGTTAGTTTAGGTTTAACAATTTGCACTGGTGACTTTAGTCTTCCTATTATTTCTAGTGACCAAAATCCTGTTAGGATTTTATATTCATGCATGAGCAATCATGTTAGTTGTTATGGCTAATTGATAAAGTGCCAGGTATATATTGATCATGTGCACAGTCATGCTCCTGGTTGCACATGAGGCTCCTCATCAGTTATCTGCAGTTATCTGTGGCACAAATTATGTGATTCTTTTTGCACACCCACAAAAGTATGCCAGATTTTTGGCCATCATTGCTGCTTCTTCAGTTTTGACCCGCTTCCAAACTGACAGGAATAAGCTAGTTGACTTAATTATATAGCCATGATTGATTGGCCAAATTAGAATGTGATAGTTGCTGACTGGATAAGAACTTTTTTTTTAAAAAAAGGTCAAAATGAAATGCCTGTTTGCTAAGTTCAGAGAACTGAACAAATTGATTCTTTTTACTTGACAAAACTCTTTTAACCCATTGGCCAAAATCCAGTTGCTTAATGTAGTAAATTATATTAGCATAGGCCTGTTTAAATCAGTGGGATTTCATGAGTCGGCTCCTGTGTAAATTCAGTGGCTTACTGTGATAATGTAAAACTCAGTTAAGAGTAGTCCCATGTGAATCAGTGCCCATTGATTCAACACCTATTCTAACAGGATTTATGACACTAAACAACAGGGTTTTGGCCACTATATTGGGTGTAATAACTAAATGATTATTGGCTTTTTATCCATTGCTTGCTTGTTTGATGTGTTTCTTGATTAGTTGGAATCGATAGAGCTTCCGATGGACAACAAAACCAACAAGCGCCGTGGATTTTGCTTCATTACTTTCAAAGAGGAAGATCCAGTAAAGAAGATTATGGAGAAGAAATACCACAACGTTGGTCTTAGTAAAGTATGTTCAAAGCTATTAGTGTGACATTTATTGGTTAGAAAGGGAATCCTGGTTGCTGAGAAGACTGAAGTGAGATGGAGATGAAATAAATGGAGTAGATTGCGGCCAAGAATCTAACTAAATTTCTAAAAAGTGTGGGTGCACCTGTACTGCTGTTTGTTGTCCTGAACAAAGAATTTGGAATTGCAAGAACCGGTGTGGATAATGTCAGCCACTTCAGGGGCAGTTTTGGGTTGTGTGTGGACTTTGTTTTTTTTCCAAATCTCTAATGATTGGCTGTCTTACTTCTTGTTTCTATAAAAAGAAAAAAAACAAAAAACACACAAAAACAAACCAAAACATCCTTAATATTATATGGTATAGGTTATAATTGTTTTTTGGGGGCAGTTGGAACATTTTTGTTTTAGTTAACAGTGCCCCTCTATTCCATCTTCTGTTGATAATTGTTTATTTGGAGCTTGCCTCACTCGGTCAACTATGTCAGCTTCTAGAACACAAATTAGGGCATTGCAAAGATCTTGCTTTTTTTTAATGGAACCTGCTAAATATTGCTAGATATCTGCTAGATTTTCCTTTGTTACCCATCGTTCTGAATTGTTTGATGATAAAAATATGGCTTTAAAGTGAAATCTAGTTGCATTTCTTCATTTTATTTAATAGTATAGTAGGACCACAAGGGATTGGTTCCAAGCCACCACAGTCAGTGCCAAAAACCACAGAATTATTGAATGCTAGTGGCCAGTTCAGGCCTGAAAATACATATAAATACATCTGTTTTTTTTATTTAGTATTTTCTGGTAGTGGCTAAATGAATGAATGGATATTTATCCCATGGATGGGGGGGTGCTACTGTATTTTAACAATTATGCTACCACTCACTGACTTCTAATGTTGCATTGCTATTTCTCTTTAAATTCTCAAGTATTAAAGTATCTGAGTTTTCAGACCTTGTAGGTAGTTGTTTGAAAGTGCATTGCAGAAGCCAAGATAGTGCCTGTAGAAATTGATTTTTCATTCTTTCAGTGCGAAATAAAAGTAGCAATGTCAAAAGAACAGTATCAGCAGCAGCAGCAGTGGGGAACACGGGGAGGATTTGCTGGAAGAGCCCGTGGCAGAGGTGGAGGTACGTTTCAGCATAACCAACGTGCCAGTACTGAACCCCAAAATGTGTTGGATGGGAAGGGCTTTGACGAGTGTGTGCCTTAAGTGTCCTTCCATGTGATGTGTATGTTTCTCAGCTCTTTAAAAATATGTTTGCCAGATTATCTGCTCAGCCACCTACTTGATCTACACCACTGGGCCCTGGCTTGTTTTTTGGGTGAAGACCTTAATCTGTCTAACCTCCTTTAAAAAACACACACAGGCCATCAGAATACAGTAGACTTGATTGCTGGGTAGGAGGTTGGTTAACATATTCCAGTCTTCAGTGAGGTACAGTGGGGGTCTTGATTTAAGAACGGCTCGAGTTAAGAACATTTTGACTTAAGAACCACTCTCATAGGAAAATATTGACTTGACATACATACTTAGATTTGAGTTAAGAACTGAAAAAAAACCCACGTGGGAGCCAGGGGAAGTGCAAAATTTGAACTTTCAGTTAACGGTTGGCCAGTGAAAAGGGTGCCTGTCTGCTTCCTCACTCCTCCCAGCGTTTAGAGAGTGGATTGAGAGACAGTCTTTGGACTGCCTGGTACTGTACTGCCTGGACTGTATTTTCCCTGCCTTCCCTGAACCTTTCTTGACCTAAGAAAAAAAAGAAACAAAATATCCCCCTCTAGTGGTCGAAGGCGGAATAGCAGCTTCCCATTAGTTTCTATGGACGGAAAAGAGCAGATACGGATCAAATGGTTTTCAATGCATTCCTATGGGAAATGCAGATTTGACCTGAGAACTTTTTGACTTGAGAACCGCCTTCCAATATGGATTAAGTTCTCAAGTCAAGACCCCACTGTATTCTCTGTCTGATGCTGACCCATATTACTCCTGATTTGCCTAACCTGAAATGAAACATGAGTATTTGGAAATCTGGCTCACTGGTTTCAACAGAACCTGCTTCTAAATAACAATGAGTTATCAATGCCAAGTTGATTCTGAGTTAGGATGAGCCCCCCAGAGGTTTTCTAGGTATAAAGTGTTTGGAAGTGGTATACTGGTCCCTCCCTCTGGTGGCATTCAGAACTCTCAGGTGCTGGCTCCACAGCCAGCCATTTCAGCCCACTTCCAGCTGTGCTTCTAAAGCAATGTCATGTTGCCATTGAGGTTTGCTTGTGGTCCTGCAATGCTGCTCTTCTAATGTTTTTCCCCCCAGGCCCCAGTCAAAGTTGGAACCCAGGATACAATAATTATTGGAATCAGGGTTATGGCAACTATGGATACAACAGCCAAGGGTACGGTGGCTACGGAGGCTATGACTACACAGGATACAACAACTATTATGGATATGGGGATTATAGTAGTAAGTATAGAGCTGCTACAAATGTGTTGACATTTTGAAACCTGACACATGCTGTGAATTTTGTAGTACCTGTTCTTTGATGCCACAAGCACGCTTTTTACCCATTGGATAGGGGAAATGCACAACCAAGTACCATTTTAACAATAAATAGCGTAGCTTTTCTTGGTGGAAGAAATACATTCTGTAAATCTGAAAGACTTGGCTGCACTGTTGTGGGAGTATCACCGTTCTCTTTTGGAGCGAATTCCTCAGATGTATCTGCATAAGGAAGCTTCTGTGTAAATTTCATTACATCCCATATTTTGCTTCTGTAGTGCTGTTCATATAGTTGTAGTGCACACTGCACAGCAAACAGATAGGACCATTGAATGTATTGGCTTAAGGGGGAAAATGATCTACTGTATTAATATGCATGGGATTTTACTTTGAAGTTGAACAGGGTGGTAGACTGGTTCTCGCAGTGACTAAGCAGACATTTCAGAGGTACTGAGAGAAGTTAAATCCACAGAGGGTTTAGAGCTGTGTTTAGAAGCTGATGGCATCTTTTCTGTACAATAGCCAAGGTTTTGTCAAAGTTGTGTGCTTTAGCAATCAGACTTGCAAATTAAGTGTATGTTTGCCTTCAGATTACCAGTCAAAAATGATGGTAGTAGATATGGAAATGAGAAATGTTTCTGCTAAGAGAATCATTAGAATTTTATGGGATTGCCATTTCTAAATACAGGTTTTGTGTCTTGTTCCATTTGACTCGCACTTACTTGTGATTTAGTTTTGTCAGGTATATCACAAGGGTACTGCTGCCGTCATTTTGAATACATGATGCACCATTGTGATTCTAAATAGACTTTCCACTTTAGTAGCAAGGTTGGATTATTTGCATTCAAATTCAGGCTGACTTAGTCTAGTTACTAATTACAAAAAGAGTCATATGTTGGGTTTTATCTTCCAAATAGTATTTCGTCCTGCTTAATTTTGAATTGATGAATTTAGAAGAAGGTTTTGCTGTTCCACAGAGATGTGTGATTCTAGTATGATGTGAGACGCTTGAATAAGTAGATGATTCTCAGTGGCTTGTGTAGGTTTGAGCCTTAAAGCCTCTTTGTTTTGTTTAGATCAGCAGAGTGGTTATGGGAAAGTATCTCGGCGAGGAGGTCATCAAAATAGCTACAAACCATACTAAATTATTCCATTTGCAGCCTATCCCAACAGGTATGTCCTACATTTGTAAACTATATTTTGACTTTATAATTAATAGTAGTTTTCAAATATATTGTGTAAGATATTGTAATGATTAATGTTTTAAAATTTCACAGCACCCAGAAGTGCTTACCGTAATGTAACGTAATGACTTTGAAGATAAGTAACACAGGTGCTCTTAAGCTTTTTGCCTTTTGCCCTATAAATTAACAAGTCAGTAAAGTTAACAGGTAAAGTACTGCTAATGGGTACAAATTAAGGAATTGCAGCGAAATAGTATTGCCTACTAACTCTGATATTATACCTTGTTTGTACCCGCCAGCGGGAACTTCCTTGCAGGCCCTGTGTCGCGCTGACTTCCCGATTCTCACAGGCCCGCTCAATGCGGACAGGGTACGAGATGCTCACGCTCTCGAATGCTGCCGTTTGGTATGGTCTCTTCCAACATCCTGTATCAGCATTATAATAAAATGGATACTTCAAGCTTTTGCCTTCACTTATTTCTTTGCTTGTAAAGCAAACTACCCGTTACGTAATTTTAATGCATTTTTTACAGGCCCAGTAATGGTTAAATACGTCAGCTTACTGAATAATTTTAACTGTTTGTTCTTCTAAGGATACAGCTTGTCTCTGGATTTTCCAGTCTTAATTTTATATTTTATTAATCTATTTTAATGCTTGCTTTTCCCATTTTTATAGACGTTGTAGCCGTAATTGCAAGATGTTCTTGAGCTGAAGTCCTGTTGTGTCAACTCCTCTGACTTTTCAATATATACTTATTTATTGTAGAAACTTAACCCTTTCTCCTTGTTGTATTTCTCTTAATGTACAAGTAGCACTGTTTACCTGGCCAGTATAAGTCTTTAACTGGAGCGTATGGGCCAAAAATCTCCACTTAACCATACTACTACTGCTTGGTGGTAGTTGAGCATTAAGGGCTTGGGAGATACTTTATGGCATTTGGTGAATAAACAAGTATTTCTTGAGTAATTTCAGAGTTGTGGAAAGACCGTTTTTCAAACAGTGGTGCACATGTGGATTTCCAGCTCATGGACTCTCCTGTTCAGCTTTAATATATCAAAAACATACTTGATTAATATCGATACAATATTTATGTAGTGGGACATAGGAGTATCTAAACACTTTCTGTAATTTTGGCTAGAGCTCATGGCCTTCACACACTGACCACTCTTTCTTTCTCTCTAGGTGGACAAGCAGTATTCTCATTTGAAGATTCATTTGAGGTGGCTCATGCTGCCTGCTAATAGCAGTTCAAACTAATTTTTTTGTATCAAGTCCCTGAATTGGAAGTAAGATGTTGGTCCCACTGAAGTTTGATTGCGTTCTCATTACAACAGAGTTGCTTTCACCATCTTTTTAATTGCTACGCTTAAGGATCTATTTGATTTACGCCCCACACCCATTTTGTTCCCCAGTATTGTAGAAAAAGTCTTGTGTTTAAAGCCCAGTGTGACAGTGTCATGATGTAGTAGTGTCTTACTGGTTTTTTAATAAATCTTTTTGTATAAAGGTGCATTAGCGTTCTTTTTCTCAAGAACGGAGAAGGTATTGGAAATTCTGAAATATATTGCTATATGTATTTCAAGTAGTAAGCCGATTTTGGATCTGCCTAGTGAAAAATCAGGGAGGGCTTCAGCCAGTGTACAAACTCTGGCAGCTAGTTACCACATAAGGTACATCTTCCATTGAATTATTTTTCTTCTAAAAAGTGGAAGATAGGGAAAAATGTATTTTCGTCTTTTGTAAGAATTAATGTCTAGAATCCTGTTACATCTTTATAATGATGTAACAGAAAACTTTAAATATTTTTCAGAGAATTGATAGCAGTTAAGAAGTCAGGGTAGACATCTGTTGTGGTCCGGATTGTGTGATTTGATGTAAATATGCTGAGCTCTTTCACACGATCCTCCTGAGATTTCTGCTGATTGTGTTCACCTGTATAACTAATGGTTTCTAGCCAATGACTGTTCTTTTTCCTGCTGTCAAGGAGGAATCATGAGACTGAGATGAGAAATCCAGCTTATAATTGCTAGGCAGCAAGGGTAGCTGACGATGACACTGATGAAGGAGTTAATGGCAGTGACACTTAAAGTTAACCTTTTGTTAGAACTGCGCAAAAGGTGGCACTGGTAAACTTCTGCTGACCCTTCCTTACCATGAGAACCCCATGATGATACAGTCCAAAATGAAACAAGGGATGGTGCTGGAAGATGAGACTCTCCAGTCAGAAAGCACTCAGTCAGCTACTGTGGAAGAGCAAAGGACAAGTACAAATAGCTCAGTTGCCAATGACACAACTAGATTAAAGCTGAAAAGACATCTTGTGGCTGATGAGCACAGAAGTGAAAAGAAACTGATGCTGTACACATACAGTTGAAACGTGGCTTGTGAGAAATATGAATGAAGGTAAACTGGAAAACAGTAAAGCAAGAAATGTAATATTACAGTGCTTAGTGTCAGCGAACTAAAGTGGGCTGGAATGCTGTATTCTTGGTCAGACAACGACAACGTATTCTGCTCTTGAAATAACAAACCCAGAGCAAATGGAGTGGCTCTAACACTGAGGCAAGCTTTAGCATAGGCAATTACGGGCTATAATGCAAAATCCCATCAAATAGTATCAGTCAGATTTCTCTGAATGCTTATCAGCTTAACCATCATTCAAGTCCATGTTTGAACTACCAATGTGAAGATAAAATTGGTAACTTTTATGCCAGCATCCAAGAGGAAATTCACCACAGACTAAAATAGGATACTTATAATCATAGGTGACTGGAATGCAAAGTAGCCAAATGTAAAATTAGGCCTAGGGGGCCTAAATTAGAACCAGGAGAATGTCTCATAGAGTTCGTAGGGAACAAATCGGAGCCAAATGGAAAATTAGGCCTAAGGGGGCCTAATTTAGAACCAGGAGAATGTCTCATAGAGTTCTGGGAAGCTGGAAATCTGTTTATTGTAAATACATACTTCAAGCAACTGAATAGATGGCTGTTTATATGGCCATTACCAGGTGGTCAGTATAGAAATATAATAATGTAATTGAAAGCAGGAGATGGAAGAGCAGTATTCTCTCAATACAAGACCAGGAGCATATTCTGATACTGATCATTAAACTGTTAATGTACAACTTTAGAGTAAAGCTGAAAAAGTACACTAAAAGAATTATAATGCCCAAACATAAACAACATTCCTGATGTATTTAAAGTCCACATAAGGAACAAATTTCCATTACTAAAAATTGAACATGAACCAGACCTGGATTGAAACCAGAGATATCATTAGGGAAAAATGCAAAAAGACCTTTCGTATAGTAAAAAGAAAAGAAAAACCTAGATGAATGATGGAAGAAAAACTTAATTTTCAGGAGACGTGAGAAGCAAAAGTAAAAGGTGACAGAATAGGGCCAGAACCTTGGATGCAGATTTTGAGTGACTGTCAGAGACAAAGAGTACTAGGAAGAAATAAATCACCAGAGGTACTGTAGATGGAATACCAATGAAACTTTTTCAAGACACAGAGACTGAATCTGTCAAAATCCTAACAAGAATATGCCATTAAATATGGAAGATAAAACAATGGCCTACAGACTGGCAACACTCAGTATAGAATCTAGTCCCCAAGAAAGGAGATATCAAGGAGTGTAGTAACTATAGGACCATTGCTTTAATTTTGCATGCAAGCAAAATGATGCTCAAGGTGTTGCAAGAAAGGTTTTTACCTCATATGGAGTGAGAAGTGCCTCATGTTCAAGCTGGATTCTGAAAAGAAAGAGGCACTTTATATCGGTTTGCAAATATACACTGGCTACTAGAGTGCATCAAAGTATTTCAGAAGGAGATCAGTCTATTGACTACAGCAGAGCCTTTGACTTGTAGATAATGATTAAGTATCTCAGTGCTTCATTGTCCTGATGCATAATCGTGTTGTGGACAAGAAGCTTCTGTTAGGACAGACTATGGAGAGGCAAAATGGTTTCCTATTTGCAAAAGTGTCAGACAATGGAGCATTTTACTTATATGTTCAAAGTATATTCATAGCATACAAGAGACCACACAATCTTCAGATGAAGGAGAGGTGAGAATTGGCAAAAAGAAACATCAATAATTTAGATATGCAATGTCTTTATATGTTCAAAGTATATTCAGAGCATACAAGAAACCCACACAATCTTCAGATGAAGGAGAGGTCAGAATTGGCAAAAGAAACATCAATAATTTAGATATGCAAGTGATGCCATCTTCCTGGCATTAAGCAGCAATAATTTGGAACGACTTTTAGGAAAAGTGAAAGAAGAAAGTGCCAAAGCAGGATTGTGGTTGGATATTAAGAAGATAAAAATCAGTACTACAGAAGAACTACACAACTTTAATGTATATTAAGAAGACAAAAATCCGTACTACAGAAGAACTACACGACTTTAAGGTTCACAATGAAGAAATTGAAATAAAGATTTTGTATACCTTAGTTCAATCGTCAGTCCAAGTGGAGACTTCAGCCAAGAAGTCAGAAGAAGACTGAGACTCTGAAAGACAGCAAAGAAGGAACTAGAAAAGATCAACTGTAAAAATGTGTCACTGGACCAAGATCATCCGTACTCTTGTATTTTCAGTTACCATGTATGCATCTGAAAGCTAGACAATAAAGAAAACTGGCAAGGGAAAGAAGTAGTCTTTGCTTTCCTAGTGGTTGGCATAAACAAAGTTCTTTGAATATAGAAGGTCTTGTTAGAAGATGTGTTGCTTTTTTTTCAAGGTCATTCTACCTTCTTTCATTGGTGCTCAGCACCAAGCCTCAAATCTAAGGTTTCAAGCAAAGAGTTTCTCAGTATTCTTTCCCCACCTCCTTTATTATGGGTTTTGTCGTCAGTTAAAGCATATGTATAGCCATGCATGTGTAATTATTGGCTGGAGCATAATCAGCTTAGTAATACAGTGGTGCCTCGCTAGATAGTTACCCAGTATGACAGTTTTTTCGCTAGACATTGGCTTTTTGCAATCGCTATAGCGATTTACAAAACAGGGATTCCTATTGGGGAATTTCACTGGACAATGTTTGGTCCCTGCTTTGCAAACCGATTTTCGTTAGACGACGATGTTTGGTCCCTGCTTCGCAAACCGATTTTCGCTAGACGACTATTTTGACAGCTCCCTCCACGTTTTCGGGACCTAAGTTTTGCAAGACAGCAATTTAAACAGCTGATCGGCGGTTCGCAAAGCGGCTTTCCTGTGGCCGATCTTCACTAGACAACAACGATTCTTCCCCATTGGAACGCATTAAACAGGTTTCAATGCATTCCAATGGGGAAATGCTTTTCGCTAGACGATGATTTCGCTAAATAATGATTTCAGTGGAACCGATTATCATCGTCTAGTGAGGCACCACTGTAGTAGTATCTTCTGCAGAGAGGCTATGGTTAAGAAAATGTTAGATATTTGTGTCTTTGCCCACCTGGCAGAAAGCCATAGTGAAGATTCACAGTTTGAATCCAGAGGCAGAAGATTCAGTAGATACACATTGAAGAACCAAATATATTCTACTGTGGCCTTTCTTCCTTGATAAATAACTTCTATTCTTTCATCTCATTGATTGCAGCATTTTAAAAAGTCACTTTCAGCCAAAATAGCAAATAGCTGTCACTTGGGAAGTGGGTAGAGAAAATACAGCTCACAATTCCATTCCGGTACCCATTTCGGAGCATAGCGGGGGAGGATGCTTTCCTTTCACTATGCATGCTTTTGAAATTGGACACAAATCACAGAGTGGAATTTTGCTCATTGTTTTGTGTATGGGGGTTCTAATTTGATCCAAGAGCACATCGTTTTGCATGACATTAAGCTGTTCAGATTTCGGTTTTGTGGCTATCTCATTCCTCTATTACCAACAGAAAGCAAGCACTATATATGCAAGCATGTAGTGGCTGTTAATTACATTTATTGACAATTAAAATATGAATAAACTTAAATGTACTTTTGAATACAGAACATTTTTACATAATATGAAGTCTGCTGTGTTTAACTGCTTAACTTCTTTATGTTGGGATAACACCTGTGGCAAGAAGAACAATGAATAGTATAATAATAAGAATGACTGCAATAATAATGACCATTGTAGCATTCTTCCACCACATTTAACTTGAAATCTTTTCATGAATTTTTTGGAAACCCTGAGCCCAAAAGCAAATGGGAAAATGCGTAAATTAGTAATAAGGCACATGAAATAAAATAAAGCTATTGAAACAGCTTTGCTACAATAGTTTAATTTATATTCCCTGAATAGTGGTAGTGAAAAAGTATGTCAATACGGCATGGGATGAAGTTCAGCCTTCAAAGAAGTATTTTGTCATAACTTTCAGCCTTCTTATCGGTCTAATTAGAACTGGGTGGAGCGAGGGATGTCCTCAGATTTTTTTTTCTTGATAGACACTGCTTATTTAGTCAAACGTGTGTGTTTAGATTCTTAGAATTTCTCTGAATTAATAAAGGGGCCTTGGCTGCCTCCTCCACTTGGTTGTTT